GGCTCATCCCCTGATTGCTGAATGGCTTCAGGCACAGTCTTTTCCAGGTGCTGCTTCTCCAGCTTGTGACATGGTATTGGGTGAAATGATATCTAAGAATCATTACCAGTTGCCTGCTATCAAGACAGGAAGGGGAACTCCTTGACGATGTCTTGCTCATCTCTGAATGCCCCTCTCCTGCCTTCTGCTCCAGTGCCTGCCTGACATGGAGTAGACACAACAGGTAAGATCGTTGAACAGATTATTGAAGAGAAATGAGTGAGATGTTGACAGAGAGAATTAGAGGAGGGGAGATGTTTGGAATAGAAAAATCCATTTTGGGTCAAAACTGTCATCAAGGAGAAAGTTATTTTGCACTCCATTGAGAGACAAATCTGGACTATTTAGGAAGAGACTGGATTCATGGAATTGGATAGAAACCCCCAGAACTGAGAGTGCAGGGGCCAGTGATGGTCTCCCCTGTGCACCATTGCCCACTACCTCTCTAATAGGGCAGACAGACCTGAGCAAGGGCAGGAAGCGGGGAGGGAGCAGCGAGCAGGCATTTATGTGTGAACCTGTGTTGAGTCCCACTATGTCTGGAAGGACCCACTGAGGTCTCTGTGTCTCTGTCATTTATGTGTGGAGATCTGTGTGTACATCTTCATATGTAAGTGGCACATGTGCTGTGTTTTCTGTAGTGCATGGATCATATCTGTGTCTGTGTGTTAGTGATTATGACTGTCCGTGTGTGCTTGCATGTGTGTGTTCCTGTCCTAGTGAGTGTGAGCGCATATCTGGCATGCCCAAGTATCTGAGTGTATCAGGATATCCCTGCACCTTTGTGCAGGTGTGTGTCCTGCATACTTCTGTGTCTTGGTGTATCTGAGTGACATTGTCTGCAGTAGGGTTTAGCACAGCAACTTGTGTGGGAGACACGGCACTGGTTCTACATCTATCTGATGCATCCCTGCTTCATTTTTCTATTTTAAGTGAGTCCTTCCTACCTATTTCAAAGCAGCATATGTAATATCTGGGCCTCAGGAAAAGGGCTCTGCATCAACAGAAGCAGTTTGGGTACCCAGGAACCCCAGTCCTGTGCCAGACATTTCAAAGGGAGTTGACATAAATCCAATGAACCTATCTTCCCAACACTGAAAGTAGTTAAGGGGTGGGAGGTTGACATTTAATAAGCACCTACTATTTACTGGGTTTTGCTTTAACTATTATATCATAAAGAGGGTATAATGATCCATTTTTGGAGGAAAAAATGCAGCTCAAATATTTTAAGTAACTTCCCTAAAGCTTCCTTTGTAATTTCCTTTGTATGTGTTATTTATTCTAAAATTATCTTCCATCCTTGTCTGTCCAGTGAACACCTTCTAGCTGGCCCTGCTCAAGTGCCACCCCTTCTCTGGAGCCTTCCCTGACTGTCGAGAGTGTTAGGGAAAACCCCTGTGCAAGACCAAGGGTCAGATGGGAAAAGATAACTAAACATTTGTCCTCAGAAGCCTCATCATCTAGTGGGGAAGATGAGCTTCACAGCAGAAGAAGTCACTTTAGTGTCAGCAAAGGAGGGCCGAGTTCCAATGAGAGTTACGAGAGACAGAGGTGAGAGGTAGATGTGGGGGCTGCAGAGTCTAGAAAGGGCACGGGGCTTCTGGGAGGAAGCAGAGCAGAGGTGGATATTGGAATAGGGTAGAAAAACCATTCCAGGAAGGGTAGAGAGGGCAGGGGAGGCATGTGAGAAAGCTGTTAGTGGTCGCACAAAGGCCAGCCTGGCTGGGGTCAGGGGAAGCAGAAGCCTATGGAAGCAGCTGGGGAAAAGACTGGAGAGAATATTGGGAGCCATGTTGGAAGGCCTTGGACACTGGGCTGAGCAGTCTGCACTGAATCCAACAGGCAGCATGGAGACTGGCTGGGCAGTAAGCTGAGTGGGAAGAGCATTGCTCAGGAATTCCCAGGGCCCTTGCAATTCTGTCTGTCTGCCTCTCTCTACATAGTACCGTTGTCCCAACCCACAGGAAACACACTAAAGTCTCTAGACTGAGATGGATGATCACCATCTTCCTCCAACTGGGGACCTCTGGCCAGGAGAGAGACCAGCTCACAGACTCTGCAGAAGGGGTTGAGGTGTGGCATGCTGCCTTTCAGGTAAGAGAACCTAATATTTCTCTGCTATCTTCTTACCTTGTATCCTGTCTCCCTCACCCCACCTCATCTCTATCTTCTCTGCATTAAGTATTATTGGAAAAAGCCACACTTTAGCTCCAACTCTCCCACACATATGAAAAAACTATCTTCGTTCTCTTTCCCCAACCTGCCCTGCCCTTTCTATTCCCAAGCTATATTCTACTCATTCTTACAAACTTAATTTGAGCCTCATCTCTTCTGTGGGATCTTCTCCATATCAGCCAGGCAGAGAAAATCACCCTTAGTTTGTTCATACAATTAGTGTAGTGCTTATTACATTGTGCATAGCTGGAGGTCAAGGACAATGGCTGCCTTACCTCTGTAGCCCCAGAGCCCTCAATGTCTTCCCCCAGCAAGCACTCAATAAATAGGCAGGAATGGTAAGCTCAAGCCATTTTATTGCCTCAGGAAACTACACAGACCAATCCCACCTTGAACACCGTGCCCAATTAGTGTTAAGAAAACATTGACAAAAGAAATAATGAATGAAAAAGGACCTGGAAATTAGGTCCTGTGAGAAAGGATCTAAGGCTCCAGTGATCTTCAGGTTGAAGAAAATATCTGTAGACCTAGAATGGGTTCCTTTGATTGCTATGCAAAAACAAACAACCTCCCCCCACCAATATAAAAAAAGCAGAGAAAGTAGACTGGGTATATGTTGTTCCTATAGGCCAAAATTGTGGCCATTTGTTGCAGAAAAGCAGATTTTAGTTGAGATTAAGAAAAACAACTAAATATTTAAAGCCCTCCAATACTGGACTGAATCATCCCAAGAAGCCATAGAAAAAAGCCAGTGCATTTATATATGGCAGAAAGGAAACCAAGATCTATCAGCATCCATTCTCTGTTACTCCTTTTATGTACATTACCTCACTTAATCTTAGCATCAGCCATGTAAAGCAGGAATCAAGATCCTCATTTTACAATGGAGATTAAATGAAGGAGAATCCAAATTTACACAGCAGTCAGGATGAAAGCTCATGTGGCTGTGACTTAACAGCTGATGCTTTTTCTGCAGCATCACACAGCTGCCTGGGCGGCGGGGTGGGAAGTGAAGGTCAAGGGCTCTGTCAAGGAGGATAGTGCACTGAAATAAAAGTGGATGGATTTGAGGAGTGCCAGAGACCAGCTCTTCCATGTTCCTATTCTATGATGGGCCAAGGAGTAGGGTTTGCAGGAATTAAGGAGGTAGATTCTCTGGGACAGCTAATGGGTGATAATGACAGAGAAGCAGAAAAATGAAAACAAGATACATCTGTGGCTTATCCTCGAAGTTGGCAGGTGAGATATGACTATTGGACTTTTCCCATCATCCTCTCTTCTTCATTTCTGTTTTCCACTCATTGTTTTTCAAAAGAACTTCATTCAACAAATATTTTTGATAAATTTTGTACACAGCTCACTGGACAAGGCAGGGAGATACAGCTTCTTCTTGTGAAGAGCTTTTTTGTTAGGAGCTGACTTGGTCCATTCTCTGGGATCTCATCAAAGCCTGGCCAGTTTTCCTGGCAAAGGGTGGACAGATTAGCTTAGTAGGAGAACACTTGTAGAGACTTTGGTGCAGCAAAAAGTGTGGTCTTTTAGGGAAGAGATTGAATGGGAGACAAAATGAGTGCATTATTTCTGAAATCATTGGAGCCATTGGCTGAGAAATATAACTGTGCAACTGATTTTATGTACTGAGATAAGAGCAAAAATAAGCTTTTCCTGGGATCTCCGTGTCATAATGTGGATGCTTCGCTGTCTCTAGTCCATGCTGCCTCTACCAACAACTCCACACAATCTCTTCCCACTCTCAGGAATACCCGCTCCTTCTACACCAGAGCATGTCTCTTTGGTGAACTTCTATTCATTCTTCAAGGCCCGATTCAAATCCTACACCTTTTTTAAAAATCCTTCCCAAATTCCTCCAAGAAGAATAATTTACTCCCACATGGTTCATAAAATTAAAAACGTACTAAGGCATTCTGCATGTTGCTCCAGATCTAACTTTTTGAGGATAGAAGTTGATATCCTTCCATCTCGATGTCTCCCACAGTATCCTATATGGGGGTCAACAAATCATGTCTGACAGTGCAATTCCAGCCTTCCACCTGTTTTATAAATAAAGTATTATCGAAACCTAGCCATGGCCATTCATTTACTCATTGTGGGCCACTGTTTTTGCAGAACAAAGGCAGAGTGGTGTGGTTGCAACAGAAACCATATGGCCCACAAACCTACAGAAAAAGTTGGTAAATTCATGAATTAGCATAATTCATGAATGGCAAATGCAGCAAGGTGTTTTGTGAAGAGATTTAGAGTGGTATTTAGATGACCTGGGTCCTAACTCATTTTGACTAAATAGTGATGATGATGATAGATTTAGGATGAGTTGACAGATAAAAGTTATAAGACTTATTATGTGTCAGGCACTGTGCTAGTAATTTTAAACTTACTATTCACTTAACCCAAGGATAAAAACTAGTATTTTTCTCATTAAAGAAGAAGAAACTGAGACTCAGAGAGGACATACTACCTTAGTAGTAAAGTGAGGACTCAAACTCAGGTATGACTTACAACAAAACTTGAGACTCAACCATTACCTTAGAACACCCTTGTGAAATGCAGTTTCTTCATAAAATTAGGATCATTCAAGGAGCAATGTGGTGTTCAATATATTTTAGCAAGCAGAGATGTATATTATCAAAATGTTTGTAAATACTGCAAGGTGGATGTGTATAAAAATTTACATATGGAACCTCAACATGCAGAAAGTCCACCTGGGGTTCCTCGGAATTCAGACCTGCTGACTCCTCACTCCTCAGCATTCCTACTTGGCTTGGAGTATGGCTCTGGTCAACCTCACATCCGGCCCAGATTTCCTCCTCCTTGGCCTGATGGATGACACAGTCGCCCATCCAGTGTTGTTCCTGCTCTTCCTCAGCATCTATCTGCTCAATGCCATGGGCAACCTGAGCATGGTGGTACTGGTGAGGTCCGATGGGGCTCTGTGCTCCCCTATGTATTACTTCTTGGGTCACCTGAGCTTTGTGGATGCCTGCTTTACCACGGTCACGGTCCCCCGACTGCTGGTCAGCCTGCTCCACCCAGCTCAGGCCATATCCTTCCAAGCATGCTTTGCCCAAATGTACTTCTTCCTGGCTCTGGGCGTCACAGAGAGCTATCTCCTGGCGGCCATGTCCTACGATCGCGCGGTGGCGGTCTGCCAGCCACTGCACTACACTGCGGTCATGACACCCTGGCGCTGCGCTGCGCTGGTGGGTGCGTCCTGGGCGGTGGCTCACCTGCACTCGCTGCTCCACACCCTGCTCATCTCCGAGGTCTCCTATCCCCACTCTGCCCCCGTGCGTCACTTTTTTTGTGATGCGACGGTTTTGCTGAGCTTGGCGACCTCGGACACATCCTCCGCGGAGATTGCCATCTTCTCCGAGGGCCTGGCGGTGGTGCTGACCCCACTGATTCTCGTGTCGCTTTCCTATGCGCACATCCTGGACGCGGTGCTTCGAGTGCGGTCGGCAGGAGGCAGTCACCGTGCCTTCTCCACCTGCGGGGCCCACCTGGTGGTGGTGTCGCTTTTCTTTGGCTCTGTCCTGTCTGTATATTTCCGACCTTCTTCTGCTTACTTCGTGCGTTATGACCGCCTGGCCAGCGTGGTGTATGCAGTGGTCACACCGACCTTGAACCCGTTCATCTACAGCCTTCGCAACAAAGAGGTCAAAGGCGCTCAGATGCCGAGGTGCGTCCCAAAAGGCGTAAGGACAGGTCTGGGTTCACCAGTATTTTAGTAATAATAACAATTACCAAAAACATTTTAAAAAGTTTCTCAATTTTGATCCTATGATATCTTATGTTTTGTTAAATAAAAAATTAGATGAAGTAAATATGACGTGGATTATAGTGGTGGGTACATAGTAATGGGTCCAATCCATTCAGTGTTGCCTGAGTGCTTGAACTAGACTTTAAAAAATTGGGGGCAACAAATGAAGGTATGGCATAGAAATTTGACTTGTTTGTTGAAAATGGAAAGAAGAGTGTGTGACACAGCAAAGAGGGGTGGAGAGGAATGTTGACAAGCAGCGGAGGTCTGAGGAGTTTTTTCCACATTTTTTGTTGGTACATTAAAGTTATACATAACCATAGGGTTTGTTGTTACATATTCATACATGCACACAGTATAACAGAGTAATTTGGCCAGTATCATGCCAGCACTTCTCCCCTCCCTCCTTACCTCCCATCCACTAGTCCTTTCCTTTTGATTTTCATGAGATTTCCATCCCATCCTCTTTTCTTTTGCTGTTTCCTTTCTAGCTTCCACAAATGAGAGAAAACATATGACCCTTGACCTTCTGAGTTTGGCTTATTTCTCTTAACATAATGGTCTCTAGTTACATTCATTTTCCTGCAAATAAGGTAATTTCATTTTTCTTTACAGCTGGATAAAACTCTGTTATGTATATGTACCATGTTGTCTTTACCCATTTATCTGTTGATGGTCACCTAGGCTGGCTCCATAGTTTGGCTACTGTGAATTTTCTCTTTGAAAGGTTTTAAGGAGGTTTTGTTGAATGTACTATAATGTTATCTACAGTCCTACGGACTCCTCCCTGGGAAACTCCAGTAAAGATCTAGTTATTTTAAAAGTCTTTTTAAATTTTAAAATTTTATCCCCTATATACTACATCAACCATTTTCATTGTAGAAATTCAAAAATAAAGATAAATAAATTCTCTTTTACCCACTCAAATCAACCTACACTGTCATCCAAGTTATCCCTTCAATCACTCTCAGTCTCTTATTTTGAAACATAAATAGTATCTTTCACTATATACTATTTTGCAATTTCATTTTTTTTGCATAAAACAAGACATCTAAGAGATCTTGTTGCTACAAGATTCAATTTTAATCTCAGCTACAGAATCCTAGATCCTATAGATCTTCTGTGGATTATTTAATCATTTCCTTATCAGTAAGTATTGTAATAAATATTTAAAACTGTTTTTCCAATTTTTCAGTATTATAAAGATGCAATGGACATTCTTGCAAAAAATAAATAAAAGTCAACATTTAGAGAGGAATTAATTATGACAAGCACAGTCCTAAGTATTTCCTGAATATGGTTCAATCCACAGAGGTTTTCATAAGGAAGGCACCATTTCTTTCCCATAGTACAAGAGTGAAAACACACTGAGAGAAACCAAGTAACTGTCCCAAAGTTGTCAGTCTAAGTCCTTTAGCTCCTTCAATAATTTCTAGTCTATTTGATCTTTTTCATCATATTGAGAAGCTTTTTTTTTAAAATAGAAAGAGAGAGAATTTTTTAATATTTATTTTTTAGCTTTCGGTGGACACAACATCTTTTATTTTATTTTTATGTGGTGCTGAGGATTGAACCCAGCACTCCGTGCATGCCAGGCAAGCACTCTACCCATCCCCAGCCCAAGAAGCTTTTAATAATATATAAATTCTTGGAGTATAATTACGGCCACCTTTTTTCTTTTTCTTTTTATTTTATTCAATTTAATTGTTTCTATTTCTTTTTTTCTTTTTAATTTTTTTTGATCAGCAGGAATTAGCTTTACATATTAATGGGATTTAGTGTGACGTTTCAATGCACGCATACAGTATGCACTGACCAAGTCCACCTCCTTCCCATTCTTAATTATTGAATTCCCTCATTTGCTCTTCACTTGGCTCCTTTCCTGTTCTTAGTGTTTTTTATTTACACCTTTTCTCTGCTTTGTCTTGTTTTGTGTGTTGAAGTTTTCACTGTGAGGTTAACCTTTTCAAAGAATATTTAACTTAACTTATGCTAATTCTGTTGGTTTTTGGTTTTCAGCACCATTTAATTTTTTTGGCTTTCACAGTTAGTAATCCCTTCCTCTTATTTTCTCCATGTTGTGGTACTTTTTCTATATTCTTTAGGTTTATGTATCATCTTGACTTTAGGAGAGGGGTGTCTCTGTTGATGCCATTTTTGGATGTGACATCTCTTAGCAAGGACAATCCAGGGCTGTTCTTTGGATTATGGGGCTGAAGGCCTCCTGGGTCTCACTGGTCCTGCTGATCCTCCTGGAGTAGTAGTTATACTTTATGTATAACTATGTGGCTTGGACTGCCTCTAAAGTGTGAATGGCATAAATCCTAAACCAACATGAGGGCATTTGTCCTGGTTCTTAGGAGGAAGTATTTCCTTCCCCTTCATTCCTTAGCCGCAAAGGTCAGCTTCTTTCTCATCTCTTGCTGCTAGGTAGGGAGTTTTAGGAGAACATTCTCATTGAATTTGCAGTCTTGGAAATCCAGAATCCATGTGTGCTTCCAATTCTAGTCTCCAGTGCTATGTATCTCATAAGTTTATGTCTTCTGCCCTGTAGCACTGATGCTGCCAGGATCTTACAAGTGGCAGTCATGCCCAAGGGCTGCATGCAGTGTTGGCTTCTGAGCTCACCATCCCTCAACCAGATTCCTCCTTCCTGGATCCTGGAGGTGTCCTGTCCTTTTGGCCAGCCCAGACATGCAGTTTCATGTATTTAGTTCCTAAAAGCAGAGAATTTTCAGGGTTGCTATTTCAGTTTTGCTAGAACCTGAAACACTCACTGGAGCTTCCAAAGCAGAGTCTCCATGACTGCCTTATTGGACTAGAGGCTGCTTTGTGTGTGCAGAGCATCTTCATCATTGACTAAGTCAAGTCTCACGCTGTAAAAACTGTGTCAGCTTGCTGGGTGCTTGCAATCCCAGCAACTTGAGGAGGCTGAAGCAGGAGGATGCAAGTTCTAAGCCATCCTCAGAAACTTAGTGAGACTCTGTCTCAAAATATAATAAAAAGGGCTGAGGGTGTAGCTCAGTGGTAGAGTCCCCTGGGCTCAATCCCCATTACCAGAAAAAAAATATTACATAAAAATTTAAAAGATAAATCATGCATCAACAAGACACATGACTGAGCAAGAGCAATCATTTGGTGGAACTGCTGTCATTCTCATTTTATTAATAAGCAAGTGGAGGCCCAGATAAACGAGGACTCTTGCCTAAAGATACAGGGCGAAGTGGTGCCATAGGCTCTGAGCCCTCTTCCCTCCTCTTTGACAGCATCCCCAATACCCGTGGGGGATGGTCACTGCCAGACTGTCAGGATATGTGTCAGTGTATTGAGCACCAGCCCTGCAGAGCCGTCCACAGGTGAACAGCCACATGTATGGACACTGGAATTAGCAGATCCCATGTGGCCACTGGCTTGCAGCCCTCTCATGCCCAGGAGCCTGAGGAGTACTCCACCTTTCAGACCTGAGCTGGCCAAGGTTGAGTCACTTGGGTGGGCTTCAGAGGCAGTCCCCGTGCACTCCTGCAGCAGGCCTGGGCAAAAAGCTGCACAGGTCTCAGCAAGAAACATTAATGAACAGAGCCTGGGTTGAAGCTCAAATTAAAATGGCAGTGACACTTGGTTCTGTCACCACATATAATCACTGCACAGTGGCTGACAGGAGAGGTATGCAGACCTCCAAGGAGTCAGCAAATGGGAAGCCACTAACAGGACTAACACTTGTCCAAAGGTGGACACCAACATGGGCCACCAGCCTGGGAGAGAGCCACACTTACCCCCGACACAGGCTCCAGCCACCATGACATTAAGATGCAATGTCTTTCTGGCAGAATAAGGTGACTATGACATATGTCTTTATGACACCCCCTCTGAGGAGCCCTTCCCAAGGCTGCACCAATTTTCACACCTGATGCAGCCGCCAAGTGAGGCAGTCAGAGTCTCTGAGTTGGGCCCCACATCCACACCCTGCCTCCTCCTCCCAGAAAGGCTCCGTTTTATGACTAAAATTAAGTTTTTATCCACTTCCTGTAAGAGACCACTTTTGGAGCTGGCTTCTTCAGATGCCCTTTCAGGACACAGGGAGCCCACTAGGGGCTCTCCGGGCTTCCCATCACCCAGCCTGTGCCCAACACCACTCCCCTGTCTCTGCCAGGAGCATCAGCCTCCCTTACCCATCCCCAGCTCTGTGCTTTACCCCTTCTCAGCCTGCACTGTCTTCCTGCACTCTGGCTGGGGAGTCTGCTGAGTCACTGCTCTGAGGTCCAGAAGGCACTGGCCAGTCACTGTGCAGACCCTAGTGCTGGGGCGCGGGTTGGGGGGATTACTGGTGAAATCTGCCACCTTCTCTTCTACCAAATGACCCTTCATAGTTTCCAAAGAAATCCCAGGTGTTGTAGAAAGTTGTTGTAGATGACTATGATGGGCAGACCATCAGCTGGCACTTTTAAATTAATTAATTAATTAATTTTAATTAGGACTATATAACAGCAGAATGCATTT